GATAAACAAAGAGTATCTGCTGGGAAAAGCGTGATCGGGGGTAATGAAAATTATTACCAGAAATTATTAGTGAAAGACATTATTGAAATTATTGATTATATTGGTGAAGAAAAGCAATTGCATTTTAGGATTAGAAAATTAAAGAGTGTTGAAATTATAAATAAAGTATACTCGGACACGATCTCATAGTCAAAGTTCGTTAAATTTCATATTCAATAAATTCATAATCGCTTAAATTCATAATTTTTCAGGAATCAATGCCAATTATATTAAAGTTCTATTCGATAATTTCATAATCATAATAAAATCTCGATAATGGATAAAATCATAATTCTCTTACTTTTATTATATAAAAATCTCGCACTTTAAATTCATGTCTCTAACTATTGTTATTACAGTAAATTAAATTTTCTTCTCTAACTATTGTTATTAAAGTAAATTAAATTTTATTCTCTTGTCAAGTTTTGAAATTAAGAGTAAAAATACAGATGATAAGTAACATCATTAATTAAATTGACAATAATGGAAAGGAATTTGTGAAAAATTTTTTTATTAAATTGACAAAAATGGAAAAATAGAAATTTTGAAATCTAAAGATAAAAAAATGTCAATATTGTTGTTTAAAACCATCGGGTTATTCGTTTGTTTGAATGAAGATAATTAATAAAAATGAAAGCTCAATTTTCTTATCATAAAATTTGGTTTTTAAAAAAATCAATTCACAAAACACGAAGCAAAATTAAATTTCTTTAAAAAAAACATTCACAAACATAAAGCAAATTTTAAATTTTAAAAATCAATTAATCTCTCGGTCAAAACGAATTCAAAATACAATCACACAATTAATGCCATTACTTTACTTTGTGGATAGAATTATATATATATGTATATAAATTTATTTCTTATTTATTATACTTATTATTTTTTAAATATTAATAAAGCTCCAAATTTTTTTTTTAGAAATAAAAAAAAAATTGATGCAAAAGAAAGCAAAAACTAATAAACTAAAATAACTATATAACAATAAGTTAAAGAAAACCATATTTTTTGATAATTTTTTGGAAATTCGCGGAAATCGGCTTAATTCGTGTTTCGCCAATCATGTGTAGAAATCTACATTAAAAGAAACTCATTACCAAATTTAGTCGTGAGATTCAAAATATTGTAACACGAAAATTATTGTTGCACAACTTTCAAAAATTTTGACTTTTGAGTATAGATGATCCGCACTGTACATATAAACGTTTTCAAGAAACATTACAAGCCCTTTAATATTTTGATATATACAATAATCTATGAGATTTGCTTTATACATACATAAAATAAAGTTTGTAATACATCTGCCTTATTATTGTCAACTGACGATTTTTTACCATTTTTGCACCACCAACCACTATAATTCTTTGCCTTAAATATGAAACGCTATTTTTAAAAACAATCAATGTATATTTACACGAAGCATAAATAAAAAAATTGTCATACATAAATAAGAATATCAGTTGATAATCTTTTTACTGTCACTGTTTTAAAAATAAAATTCACAAAAAATTTTTTTGTTCTCTATTGTTATCTTATTCATAATACATTAATGTCTTAATGAATTTATTAAAGTTTTGAAACAAATTTTAAGGTTTTAAATTGTATTGTTTAAAAATTATATAATTTTAATATTAATATTAAGGAAAAATAATTCTTGAAAAATTTTTAAAACTTCAAAACAAACTTTAAAGATAAACTGACACAGCAATAATGTACGAACCATTTTTGACGATAGCTTTTGCTGGATGGTTCAATGGTCTTTACACCATGGTAACGTGAATAAAAAAAAACTCACAAAAATTAAATTAATTAATTAATAATTTATTTTAATAATGATTTATTTGAATAGACGCACCTTCATAATTTGTTCGTTTCGATAACATTGTATAAGTCTCGAGCAAATTTGCTGAATATTTTTAAAATTTTATATAATTTCGGAGGATTAATTAAAGCTATATCTCAAGTTTGGCAATTAGTAGTACCAAATGATGTGACAAAAGGCCAATGTATTGCATT